GGCATGAGGGCTGCTTCACCTCTAACGGTCGGCATCAGGTGGCGACGTGTGCAGTTGCATGTGCACGACGACGACTAGGTCTTCAATGTCGTCGACACCCGAGATGAATGGAGAGCTTAGACGTAATGCACCAACACCACTTTGTTTTGCATAAAATGATAAAATTCAAAAGAATATTTTATAAAAATAATTGTTTGAGTCGGATATTATGTTATCACTTGTCCCCCTTCAATACTCCCTCCCTTCCAGTTTAGATGGCTCAAATGTTGCTTGGTTGAGATTTTTTTGGTTATTTCATTTATGTTAGGTATTTTGTATTGATTTTAAATAGCATACACAATATAGTACAACAACATTGTGAAAACACCCACCTAGATTGAGTCTACAACTCATACCCATGGCAGAGTCATTGTTGATCTGCCCAGAACCACATAAAATCATAGGACAATATGAGTGTATCACTATATTAAAGGCAACCAACATATATCGACACCATGGCAGTTTCCATGGCATGGTCTAAATTTGTCTCGGGAAGCGAGAAGTGGGAACGACGAGATCTGTATGATGGTGTCATGCGGAGAGGCCTATGCCATTTCTTTGGTGGGGTCCCTATTTTCGAGCCATGAGCTTGGTTTGCTTCAATGTGGAAAAATGAAGGTAGTTTCGTTTGCATGGGACTACATCATCCACACATAAACCCGCTTTCGTTCCTGCTACTCCCCCTCCCCTCTAGGCCCTCTCCCCAAACTTCGCTGCTTAAATTTTTTGGGTCTGGCTCCTACTTTCGTTGTTGCCCGAATTTCATGTAGAATTTTTTAGGTTTCACTCCCCCTTCCATTCTCGATCTAATTATGTGCCGAAATATTTAGGGTTTCACTGTCATTTTTTCTCCCGCCTAAGAAATAGATAGACCGCTTTCACATAAAATAACGACTGAGCATGTGATGGGTGTGCGTGCATGAGGCTATCTAAAAGTGTTGATAGAAAATAACGGCCGCACACCGTTTGTGTGCCTCCTGGCCTATCCGCTCATTCCACAATGGTGCACATTCAGCCTATTTCAAAAAAGTTGACAATTTGTGTGTGCAAATGTTTTTTCCGTCCAACTTGATTAATTTATTGTTTGAGAAAGAAAAAAAATCGATAGAAATGTGACCCCGATAGGCCGGCCCAAATGAAATTAGAGCATCTCTAAGAAATCCCGTATAAGTTGACCCTTAAAAACACATATAAGGTGCACTATGAAATCTTTTTACGGTGCGAAATTGCCCCGGGCAGAGCATACCTTATAAATAAAACTGTATCCCACTATAGCCCATTTTTTCTTTCTTTTTTTCCCTTTTCCCTTCCTTCCGTCTCCAGCCACGGCGTGCCTCGCCCCGGCGCCGTTTAAAAATTAATTTAAGGGCCAATCGAGTTTTACGGGATCTGCTAGGCGTCGTTTTTTTGACCGAAACTGTAAACACGAATTTTTTATAGGTTTGACCGCTTTTAAGGGGTCTGCTAGAGATGCTCTTAGACCTCGCGTGATCGGCTCAATAGAGGGATCGACCTCGCGTGATCGGCTCAATAGAGGGGTCTGCTAGACGATGTTTTTACCCAGGTTCAGGCCCTCTCGATGGAGGTAAAACCCTACTCCTGCTTGATATGAGGGGTGCCGGTCAGTCCGGGCGTTTGAGGCCCGTTTGAGGCACCTGTCTGGGTCAGATTTTCGCGACCGGGTAGTAACCGGGTGGCCCGCCCTGGCGTATGAGGCGGGTTTGAGAGGTCCGGTTGTACATGCTCTAATATTTATGAAAATAACACAACTACTACGCTTTCATAACAGAAATATGATGAATTTTGAGACAACATAAGGATTGTTTAACAAACACACATACTTCAGTAGCCAAAATATGCTTATTTTTTAGACTATTCGTGTTCGGGAGAAAAATTATTACCGAGTGAAAAACAATGGATCCTCTTTATCTGATTAAATTTAATGTACTTGCCAGAAAAATCAAGTCATGTACTCCCTCTGTAAAGAAATATAAGAGCGTTTAGACCACTACTTTAGTGATCTAAACGCTCTTATATTTCTTTACGGAGGGAGTATGACATATCAATCCAAGATTACCAATTTCCAATCCATATGGCGTCATCATTTTTTTATGTGAATTGATACATGTAGAGTTCTTTTCAGAGTTTTTTTAAACTTTAATAGGACATGGTAGGTACCAACGTGATTTGATGCTTTGGTTTCAGAATATAATAACACACATATTTTATCAAAACTAACAAAATGAAGTTTCTAACATATACCAATCATAATTGATATGTCGCTGCATGATAAATTAGGAGTTGATAAGTTCATATAGCTTACATTTTCTTATGAGACATCACCGATTGACTATATATGCTATACTTGGTCTTCAATGTGTGCTGGCATAAACGTCCCATGCAAGTGAGCTACATCGAAAGTCAGCATGATTTTGATTAGAATACCCCATTATCCAAGAAGTAATGAAAAAAATCAATCCTAATACATTGATCAGGGCATATATATTATTACAGAGAAACCATGGTTATCTATATTGATTTTCCGAAGAAAACACCATGCTTCAATGGCAACATAAAGATAAATTCAGTGAGCTAGAAATCTATTAAGAGGCAAATCAATTCCATGCCAACAGAAGTAAAGAGTCAAATTGTACCTGCAATGTGTGGTCGTACTGAAACTGGAGGTAGCAAAAATTATTTACAGGTTCGAGATAAATAATATAGATCTTATTTGTGATATGCATATGGCAATATAAGATTACTACTCATTACTAAAATAATATGAAAATCACAAAAAGGAAATACTATTGCATATTATTTGAAAGAAACCAACAAACTATAGATTATGTGGTTGCAATTGCAGGAAATTTTAGTTTTTCCTGTACATAAAAATTTTAGTACTTTTTTCTATTGATATAGGCAGCAGAGCTACTGTTCCTTCACTGAAAAATGCAGGAAAATTTCATATGGATGTCTTATATTGCAGAATCATCGATATGGATTCTTTTTGGAATACAAGAAAGAATTCATGAGTAACCAGAGTGCCGCATACAATTTGCAGTTAGAGAGCTTACATTTAGCATGGGTAACAAGTAACAACTTGCTAGAATGATGCTGATTTGAACAGATCAGTCCATGGGTCATTGACTGGAGTGATCAAGGAGATGCTGAGAACCATGGAGGAGCACAAAGTCACGATGTATATCAAACAGAGCGGCACATATCCTAGCGAAAGAGGGATGTGGTAATTAGCTTTGTAAAGCATGGTTGCATATACCACCAGAATGTGTATCAGACTTTGTAGTAGCTGAACGCCATTGATAAAGAACCACAAAGCCCTTCTGAAAAACAACTTAATTCCCGTCTAAGAAACATTTGCAGCAATAATCTGTGTCAACAAAAATAGTACAAGACATAACCAATATATCAAGATCGAACTCGAGATCCAGACCAAGAACCCAAGAAAATTTGAGAGAGAGAGATAAGAGGAGGAGCTTACGGGTGGTTGCGCTCCCAATCCAGACCAAGAGGAAGAAGTCGAGGCTGTGGACCAGCAGTAGAAGGCCTCGATGGCAAAAGGGTTCTCTTGTGTGGAGCTCGGTGTTGAGCAGCGACAGGAAAGAGACGTCCGTCGTGCTGCTCGGAGACGGAATCCTCGCACACCTCTGCCGATGAGGGGTCAATGGCATAGGCTGATATGCACATGCCTGGCAGCAGGGGAAGAAGAGGTGGATGTCAAGTGTACCGACGTGGAGGACCTGCGGAAGGAGACACAGAGAGGAAGATGGGCTTCCCACCGCCGCCTCCTTTATGGCCTCTACACGAAGAGCCCCGTTGTCCCAGCAGCAGCAGTGCCGCCCCACCACCACTCTTCCTGTATGGCTCTAAGGGCAGGTCCGCCGCTGCGCTCCTTCCTTTCTCTCTGCTATCTCTATCGCTTCGACGACGGGCGGAAGGGACGGGATGGAAGGCATCCCCTTCCCTAGATCCAGACGGCAAGGGACATCGGGTCACGAACTCACGATGCAGCTCATGGGATGGATGGCGAGCACAGGCGGCGATGATTTTCCTTCGAGAGAGACGGGATCGGGAGCGAGGGGGCTTGGGGAGAGATGGGGGCGTGCGACGTGTGTGTGCGCGTGTGGCGGCAGTTTTTTCGGCGATGGGTGGTGGGAGCGTGCGCTGGTTTTTCTTTTCATGCGATGAAGGGGAAGGACGAAGGGAGGTGTGGGGATTGAACGAGGTTGAACCATCACGACGTTCGATCCCCTTTAATAGTAGAGATTTGTTGAAGATGCTCTAAGACTCCCAACAGATCCAACATGGAAATGAAGTGCGTATCCGATCGACAAGGACATCGCTATAATTTCTCCCTTCTTGGCACTGTTAGGCACATGAACCAATAATTCCACACGCATGCACCAATCGTGCACGCCGTGGAATGGCATCCCACGGGATCACGCGCGCACCCTACGCATGTTGTAGACTCTATCTATAGGTTGGTTATTCGTCGTAATAATCTGGCTATCATTTTTGCCAATAATAAGGCGTGTCCTCGCCCTCGATCGTAGCTCTCGCGATCAAAAATCTCTCTAGCTTGGCTTGGCATGCATGCGCTGGTGCTTTACGCTGCTAGTACTCCATCTCCATGCATGGTGCCCGTGAACTGATCGAGATTTTTTGCTGCTTGGAGCATGCGTTAATTTGGGCGAACTTTGGACCCTTCCTATGCCGACGCCGACAGCTACGTCACTGCAAGCACGCGCGCAGCGATTCAGTGAAACCAGAAAGTGTTGCATTGCGGTTACCTTGGAGTCGTCGTAAAAAACGGCGGCAACTTGGCCTCCTCGCATGCCTATAAAATGGGGATCCATGCAGCAGCATGAGCCACCACACTCAACGCAGCACAACATCCTCACACAGTCACGCATATAACAAAGTGGTCGAGCGTGTCGAAGCAAATGGCAACCAATAGCCTTCTCCTCGCCGCTCTCCTCCTCTTCGTCGTCAGCCTCGTGCCGCGCGGTGCGGAGGCGGACAAGCAGCCTCCGCTGGCCCTCGTCGCCGGCGTGGTGCCATGCAGCGCGGGGAGCTCCATCAACGTGGCTGCGGTTCCGCCGTTCCCGAGTAAGGACTAAGGAAGGACCTCTCATGCATGCATGTTTCTTGCCTGAATATATGCCACCTAATGACTGCAACTGTTGTCCGGCCGTCTTAACTATCTCATTTGGCTTGATTTTCGGCTCCGGGCAGACGCCGTCGTCCACATGGTGTGCGGCGGCAGGGTGGTGGCCGGCACCAAGGCGGACGAGAGAGGAGCATTCACCATGAACATGGGAACGGTCACCTCGTCGCTGCTCGCCCCTCTGCTCGGCAACCAGTGCAAGGTGGTGGTGGTCACCCCGCTAGCCGCGTGCAACGCGTCCCTGGCCAGCATCACCGGGACGCTGGCCGCACCGGTGCAGCTCCTGGGTGCTGACAGCGGCGGCGGCCTCGGAGGACTTGGCGGCCTGATAGGCCTCATCGGCCAGATCGTGGGTGGCCTCCTCGGCGGCATCCTTAACATCATCCCCTTGCCCTTCTCCCTCGTCTAGATGATTGGTACATTACATCACCGGCCGGCGCCCTTGTCCATCTCCGTCCATGGCACGGCTGAATTATAAATACGTAAGGAGAAATCAATACGTATGTATATAGGACCAACCTACCGATGGACCAACTATATATATATCCCCGCTTTATTACGTGTGTATGTAAATCTACTCCTGTGGTGTACGTGCTCCGTATGTGTATGTGTTACCGCTTCTAAGAGGCACATAAGTAAACCAATAGTATTGCGTAATACTCTGAGAGTGTGTCGTGTAATATAAGCGATGTTCGTTTGTGCAAAATAAAGCTACGTGTGTGATTGTAAATGTGATTGGTTAATTAACTGCTTATATATCAGCTTACTTCTCCGTGGCTCCCGTACAAACTACAAAGATGTGATTGGTTAATTAACTGCTTATATACCAGCTTACTTCTCCGTGGCTCCCGTACAAACTACAAAGTTGCCTCTATGGCCTTGTACAATGCAAGATGTTTAGAGAGGTGTTTAGTACTTCCTCCGTCCAAAAATACTTGTCATCAAAATGGATGAAAAAGGATGTATCTAGGACTAAAATAAACCGAGTTTTTTCTTTAGCAACAATGCTTATCTCTATAGGAGAAGTGCCTAATTAAGCGTCTACACTGTATAAATAAGCACTAATGCTTAAGAAAAATTTAATTTATTTCTATAAATACCTTCCCTAAGCACCTTGCATTGTACAAGGCCAACTGGCACCATGCAACTGAATCTTCCTTGCTCCCCCAAGTCTCAAAACCGGATAGTTTGGTCCTAAATAAGATTTTGAGCACGTTGACCAGGTTTGACCGCCACAAAATCGCCCGATGAACAGTACATCCAAAAAAAATCTAAAAATATTCAAAAACCTTCAAAAAATCGGAATTTTTTTGGGGGTCCAATATGCTTATATGCGCAAGGTGCGACCAAATTTTCATGGTCTTTTGACACTCGAGGACCTCGTGGCAATAAAAAATAAAAAAATCTGCCGATATATAGTAAATTCAAAAAAAATCTGAAATTTTCTAGGGTCCAATATTCTTACGTGTGCAAGGTGCGACCAGAATTTTGTCATGAAATGACATCGGACAGGCTCTAGGAAAACAACAAGTTTTGGCTATTTTTTTTAGCGGAAATTTGTTTTTTTGCCACGAGCACCTCGAGTGTCGAAAGACCACGGAATTTTGGTTGGACCTTACGCATGTAAGCATATCAGACCCCAAAAATTTTCAGATTTTTGAATTTTTTATTTTTTTCAAATTTACTGTTCATCGGACGTAGATGTTTTTGTGCCACGAGCTCCTAAGTGTTAAAAGACCACGAAAATTTGCTCGGACCTTGCGCATGTAAGCATATTCGATTCTTCAAAATTACTGTTCATTAGGCGGTTTTGTGGTGGTCAAACCCTGTCAACGTGCTTAAAATCTGGTTTAGGATTAAACTTATCCGGCTTTGAGACTTGAGGGACCAAATGTATATCAATATTTTTTGAGGGACCAAGTCTATACTTTTTGGAAACATGACGGACCAAAAACATACTTTTCTCTTTACTTATTTTCAACAAAAAAGACCCACATCTACTACGAAACTTTATAAGTACAAGGCACCATAAATAAAAAAATTACATCGAAGGCCATGCATCATCAAACAACCGCTAACGCCGCCAGAACGAGTCGTCGACGCGCCGTTTTGTCACTGCTCACTACCAAAGCCGGTTTGACCTTGTTAATAACATTTAGCAAATCTTATTGCATGTACCCCGTCGCACTTTTGAACCCTCCAACTCTTGATGTTGCGCTCAGACGGCTAGAAAGCAGGAATTTACGCCAAAGCTCTGTCGACTCTGTCCTGGCGGACAAATTTGAGGAGGATAGGAGCCCCACCCTCCGCCCGAGCAAGGTACATTTGCCTACTCTGTTGTGAGTTGGCTACATTATTACATCAGCAGGAAAATGGCGTGAGCTTAGGGGTAGCATGTAGTTACTGGGTTGGTGCTCCAGCAGGTGCAGCTCCGGGGAGAGCTGGACAGCCATGAAACTG